CTTTCTTGCGGACGTTTCATTACCGAACTAGGTAACATCATCAGTGCCAGAAGAAGGTGGGGTTTGCTACAAACCCTAACCCCATTTAAGACCCAATGGCAGCTGTCCCAATTCGTGTCCCCCCCCCAAAACCTCCTCGAAAAGCAATTGTGCTGGCCCACAGAGCCCAGCAGAGGGCGCACTCACCCCTGCAGCGGTATCCTTGCTTGGAGACTCCCCACAGCTACATCAGGAAAGGAAGAAGACAAATTAGGTCATTTTAGGTTGCAGCAAACACATCTGGAGGATGCAAACAGATCCGTGAGCATCCTCAGCCATTTCTTGCACCAACAGATACTTAGTTTTCATTTCATCTCCTTGTCGCTTCCTTTCTCGGGTTTTATAGAGTCGGCCGCCTCAAATGTTTTATTAGAGAGGTTCCTTTGTTTAATTGTCTGCAGTCCTCAGAGTTGGCTTTCCAGCAGCAGGAAGGTGATGGCTGGGGAATTCTGGGAGTTGAAGTCCCCATCTTTTAATTTGCTAAGCGTGAGGAGCAACGTTGTAGAACAATGTTTGTGCACATGCAAAGCAGCTAGATAACGGGACTAAAGCATCCTTGGTCATATACTCTGGCCTCCAATCACTCTTCTTCTTAAAAAAAAAAAATAGCATGTTCCTAGTCCTGATGGAGGACCTAGAAGGCTGAGAGATTAGCAGGTCGGATAATTCTGGAGAGAACTACTTAAATAGGCAGACTAAAACATGTGAAGAACCGTTGCAGGAATTGGGTATGTCTAGTTTAATGAAAAGAAGGACTAGGGGTGACATGATGGAGTGTCCCAATATCCATGGGGCTGCCCCAAAGAAGAGGGAGTCAAGCTATTCTCAAAAGCACCTGAACTCAGGACAAGAAGCAACGGGTGGAAACTAATCAAGGAGAGAAGCAACTTAGAACTAAGGAGGAATTTCCTGACAAGGAGAACAACGAATCAGTGAAACTGTCAACTTAGAAAGCATTTCTACAGCCGTTTTATAGTTGCCAACAGAAAGGGAGGGGGGAAAGGGATTTGAAAGAGCAGTGCGGCTGCTTGGAAATCAAAAGTGCATTCCATGCATAGTTTTTCAAAGATAGTAACTAGGGGACTGGAGTTTCTGCCGTGCAAAATTCTAACTGGAGAGCATGATTGATGACTCTGGGCTATGGATGACTCTCGCTGGAGAATATGAATTATAATATACCCAGGGGGTGGGGTGGGGTGGGGAAAACCAGGGTCACAGATGTCTCAGAGTCAGCTACACCCAGGCAGTGCCGACATGTTAACTCCCAATAAATCTTATTTAGTTTTGGGCGTTTGGCTCAAAAATCATGATTTAATTGGGGTAACTGCCGGAAGTTGTGGGTGCTCCAACACTGGAGGTTTTTAAGAAGAGATTGGACATCCACGGAGGCTCTGTGGCTCAGTGGTTAGAGTGCAGTACTGCAAGCTACTTCTCCTGGCTGCAGTTTGGCAGTTCAAATCCCACCAGGCTCCAGGTTGACTCAGCTTTCCATCCTTCCGAGGCGGGTAAAATGAGGAGCCAGATTGTTGAGGGCAAGAGGCTGACTCTGTAAACCGCTTAGAGAGGTCTGGAAAGCACTATAAAAAGGTATATAAGTCGAAGGGCTACTGCTATTTGTCTGAAATTGTACAGGGTGTCCTTCCTGAGCAGTGGGTTGGACTAGAAGACCTCCAAGGTCCCTTCCAACTTAGAGGAGGAGGAAGACGAGCAGGAGGATAAAAGTCTAGCTGCACAATTTCCCTTCAATTTCCCTTCCCACAATTCTGGGCAACCCCTTCAGTTTTTATTTCTTAAACATCTCTTGATATTATATTTCCAGTGGTCATTTCTGCCAATGGGATGTGTGTGCGTGTGTGTGTGTGTGTGTGTGAATGTCACAGAAAAGGTGTGTAAACTTACAAAGCCGCTGCAGTGGTCGCAGAAAGTGGGTTTCTTAAAGGTGACCTCTTGGAAATCGTGCAAAACCACCAGGCCCAGCTTGGAGAAGATGGCGCAGGCCCTCATGAAGTACTCCGAGAGGTCGTCTCGGTTCCAGGTTCCTTCCCTGAGATAAAGAGAGGCAGTTTGGTCTAGTGGTTAAGGCTAGAAACTGGGAGCTGGTGAGTTCTAGTTCCACCGTGGCCATGAAAGCCAGTTGTCCAATCACCAGGTCAAGGTGAGCTCCAGCCCTGCCTTAGATATGAAAGCATTTCAACAAGACGCTCTAGGTCAGTGATGACTAACCTTTTGGGGCTCCTGTGCTAAAAATTGTGCACGCGCCAGCGCACATGCAGTTACATGCCAGCACCCAGAATGTAATGCACGCCCCACACCTGCGCATGCACGCGCAATCCCCCATGCCCCCCCTTACCTGCACTGCGCCTCACAGCTGATTTTTCAGCTGTTTGAGACCTTTTTCAGCCTCCCAGAGGCTTGGAGAAAACCTCTGCAAGGCTTTTCAGGGGGAATAATAGGCTTGTTTCATCACTTCCGGTATTACAGGAAGTGATAAAACGGGCCTATGATTAGACCTGAAAAGCCTTGCAGAGGCTTTTTCCAAGCCTCTGGGAGGCCGAAAAAGGCCTCAAACCAGCCAAAAAATCAGCTGTGAGGTGCGCGCATGCGCAGTGCAGGTAAGTTTGCCTGCGGCTCGTGTGCCGGCGCAAATGGCTCTGCATGCCACTTGTGGCACGCATGCCATAGGTTTGCCATCACGGCCCTAGGTTTTCCACTTTACGGCAACCTAGCTGGATCTCCTTTCCATGCAGCCAAAGGTAGGCCTCAAAACTTTTAGCAATGGGTTGCTCTGCCTGGTTGCTAGGTGGGTGTGGCCATGGTGGGCGTGGCCTAGTTGGCCTCCTGCACCACGGCAGGAGGGGGGCGTTTTTGCCCTCCCCAGGCTCTGGAGGCTTTTCTCCGGAGGCTCTCTGGAAGCCAGAAATGGGCCCATTTCCGGCCTTCCTGAATTTCCAGGAGGCCAGTTTTTCACCCCTCTCTGAGCTTCTGCGTGCGTCCTCTGCTTACCTGCGCCTGGAACAGGCCGCATGGAAACTCCTGGGAGGGGAGGGGAGGGGAGGGGCGGGATGGGCAGGGCCAGCCAGGAGTGGGATTTGTGGGTTCTCCAAATTGCACAGAATCTTAGCGAGGGGCGAACCCCCAGCAGAACCACCCTTGCCGGCAACCCCGGTGCTTACCGTTCTCTTTCCAGGCCGTAGAAGGAGAACGGGAAACTCATAGATATGGTCTCAAAATCTTCCTGAGAGATGCAACCCCGTTGGTCAGGGTCGTAATTCTTGAACACGGACTGTTGGAAAAGAGAAGGGTAGAAACGCAGCCATGGAGACACAAACGTCTACAGAGGAATTTATTGACTTAATTAGCTCTATACCTGTATGCTTCGCTACGAAACTATGTGGTGGGGCTTAGTTTTGGGGGAGGAAAATAAGGGGAAGGGGAAATTCTGCCTCTGCGTACCAGCATCCATTGGTATTCATCTGGCTAGCGTCCTGTCAGTGTGTGAGAGAGCTGAGGGCTGTTTGGAAACTGAAATAGTATTTTCTGTGTGAGCAAGAAGGAGACAGCGAGGAGCCTGGGCGTGGCTTAGCTCAACGGTTCAGTACTCAAGCTGCTTGGTGCTCTGAAACTGAAACTGAAACTCCTCTGCTTTGCATTTGGAACAGCTTTCTTTTCAGGTGGGGAGGGAGAATAGAACTCCTTAGCATCAGAGCGTGTTAATAATAATAATACAGGAAATACTAATGTTCTGATGGTCATTTTGAAGAATCCTTTCGTAGTGAGCACCTAGAAGTGAAGAGGAAGATAGGTGCCAAATTTCAAGTTTGTAGGCTTTACGGTTCTAGAGATTTTGTGATGATGTGTGAGTGGTATTTTGATTTTAGATAGATAGATGGATGGATGGATGGATAGATAGATAGATAGATAGATAGATAGATAGATAGATAGATAGATAGATAGATAGATAGATAGATAGATAGATAGATAGAAGAGGTACATAGATAGAAGTGGCCCCCGGTGCACTCTCGGCTTGGTTTTCTTGGAGACATTTCATGACCCAACTAAGTAACATCATCAGTATTACAAAGGAGTGGGGTTTATTCTCTGTTTGTCGGAAATTAGCTGGGAAGGTTACAAATGGTGATCGCATGAACCCAGGGCTGTGCCACTGTCATAACTACAGGTAGTCCTCTGGTTATGACCACAGTTGAGCCCAAGGATTCTGTTGCTAAGCGAAACATTTGTTAAAAGTGAGTTTGGCTCCATTTTTATGCCTTGTCTTGCTGGAGTCGTTAAGTGAATCATTGCATTTGTTCAGGTTGTGAAGTGAATCTGGACTCCCCGTCGACAGGTTGCAAAAGGGGACCACGTGACCCCCCTGGGGACACAGCGACCGTCATAAACATGAGCCCCTTGCCAAGCCTCTGAATTTTGATCGGTTACCGCAACAGTCATAAACGTGAAAAATGGTCGTAAGTCGCTTTTTTCCCCCCAGCGCAGCTTTCCTTCCAACGGTCACTAAACGAGTAATTGTAAGCTGAGCTCCTGCCTATAATTTTCACTCAGGGGAGATGGCTCCATTTCCTAGAAGTTGAATGTTCTTTATGCGTGCAAAATCGCTCTTCAGCTACCACCAATTTCTGCTTAAGCACTTTAAAAGTCTATAAGGGTGATTGAAATAAATCTTTGACTCTCAGCCCTGCGCTGTTTCTTCACCACATCCTCTTTTTTCCCAAACCTGTAACCCACACACTGCTCTCAATTCCCTCCCTATGCCAAGATTGGGGTGCAGTCCTGCATAGATTCTCCACAACACCCCCCAAATGATCCCCTACGCAAACTTGGCACGGGCCTGGCCAGAGAAGTCCTTTATTTCTCCTGCCTTGATTTTCAAAAGAGTTGCAGGTCTTGAGACGCAAAAAAACAAAACTAAACTGTAATAGATCGGAGAGAGAAAGGATTAAATTCTTCCCTCTTTGGCAATGCGGCGGTTACTTGATGACAGTAACCGCAAACTTCTTTGCAATTGGTAACGGTGTTCGTGGAGACCTCTTGGGTTTTTATATAGGAGCATCCAAAACCATCATTTGTTAATTTGATACTATTAGGCAGTGCTCCTCAACTTGGCAACTTTAGGACGTTTGGACTTCAACTCCCAGAATTCTCTATCCGGCAAAGACGTTTAGACTTCAACTCCCAGAATTCTCTAGCCGGCAAGGATGTTTGGACCAACTCCCAGAATTCTGTAGCCGGCAAAGACGTTTGGACTTCAACTCCCAGAATTCTCTAGCCGGCAAGGATGTTTGGACTTCAACTCCTAGAATTCTCCAGCCGGCAAAGATGTTTGGACTTCAACTCCCAGAATTCTCCAGCCGGCAAAGACGTTTGG